CATACATAAAATGCGTAGATATTTTTTTCCCCTGTTTATGAACTTTCAGAATTTACTTTTTACTGCAGGGAAACTTATTCCCGTATTTTCACTAGTGTCTTGCCAGACAACATTTTTCTGAAGTAAGCCACACCACAAAATTAAAGCATTGTCTTTCAAATTTTAAAAAGTCGAACATGAGACAATATATAAAATAAACTGAATTTTTTCTCTCTTAATAAATGACTAATTTTCACATTGTTGCATGAAAGTTTTGATACTAGAATACATGTATTTATAGAAAGAAACTTAACCTTCACCTATTTAAATTGAATCATCTTTTATCGTAGCGTATTAAAAAACAAATAAAAATGATTCCGTCGTCATTATTTATCATTTTATTTTTAGTACGATACATGTGTAATCCGTTGTCCAAGATATGTTTGTTAATTACTGAAAAATAAAACAACTAAAATGGAGAAGCAGCACTTTGTGAAATCTAGGTATGGTGTGATATCTTGCTGATTTTTTCTATTACATCAGTTTCTTCACATTAAAGATCCTTTATCTGAAAACAAATATTGAAACAACGGTTAATCGTTTTATAATACAACATAGTTTAACTTCATAATTTGCTTTATTGAATACAAGCCTTTAAATGTAATAAAAGAATAAAGTTACTTCATTTTTGTATGGATTTATAAAATGTTAAACCGGATTCTGTATTTATATATATATTAATATGTATTATATTAATTTATAAAAAGCTTAAACTTTTAACGTAAATAAGATAAGAAAATAACTCCCATAGCATATGTATTTCATTCATATAATTATACAAGGATTGTATAAAACATATCTTCCTTACACGGTCCCTGTACACTGGCATTTTCTTAAAGTATTATTCTAATATTTCATAATAAAATGAAACAATAAGTGAAAATTCTTGCAACCTGCTGCATTAGCGTAGTATAAAGGTGTCATAAATATAAAACAGTAAGGGAATAACCACGCCTATTTTAAATCAAACGCTTGAATTGTTCTAGCTAATAAACCAGTAAGATCCATTACAGCTGACGTAAGGGTGGACTCACGCCACAACTGAGAATTCATTTATAATTTATCGGCTAGTCGAAGTTCATGACCTCGTGTAAATTGTTTACAAGTGTCTGCAATTTGTATTAATTCAACATGGCTAATGAAGATACGACTTTCAGCAAACTGATTTGTTATTTTCTTCACATGGCCTATAATAAAGAAAATACGCATTTAAAATAATTTTATTCTGAATAATTTAATAATATCGTTTTAATTGCTTCATTATTATGTTTTTATTTTTTTTGTATCTAAAGATATTATATCAATATTCTTACAATGTGCAAACATAAAGAAAATGTTATTAAATCATTTATATTTTCTAAAGAAACAACAGAGATTTCTTCTCAGTTTTTATTTCTTCATTCAAAAGAAAGTAACATTTTTTGTCTTTTGGGTCTTAATATAATCGATAATCGACAGAAAAATGATGTACAATGAACATATATTGCATAAAAAGTCAACTTATTAAATCATGATTATGATAAATATCATATTGATTGAACAGAAAAACTGAAATTAATACCTTTGATTTGCATCTGATGATAGCATAATCTTTCGCTCTATTTAAGTGCAGTCCAATTGATTATAAAACAATAATACGCTACCACATCCAAATAAATGATGTATACATTGTACTTCTGCACATCGTGTTTTCCATTACGATGAGATAGCTATAATGCCCGCTTAATTCGTTCCTGATATTAAATCACGCGTCAGGATGTTCCGGTAGCAAATTAGAAGAAGTAACACCTTAGTGTTAATTGCAGACATAGACGATTACCGCGCTGAACTTGCAGTATTGTGTCATAAAGGTAGTAAAATGTAAAAAAAAAACAATTTCACTTTACAAAAACTTATTCAATCTGATTATACCGAATGCAAACATAACTATAGTTGCTGATACCACATGTATATTACTATGAAAACTGTAACAATAGGAGGAATTAATTACTTGTTCATCACGAGCTGTTATGTGTTTCACGTGTACCGAAAACTAAAAGTTTTAAGGCAATAAAAATTGGTAGCATTTCTGATGCATAATTAGCCTTTAACTTATTGCAGAGTATATGTATTCATGCGTATATGTCTAGATTAAATTTTAAGGAACTCTGAAGTTCTATTGTTTTAATGATATCATTTACTCAGTATTCAAATCAAGTCGCTGTCAGATAAATAACAACTGAAACAAACATCAAATGAAATAAGTGTTACTGATAGTTAGACATATTTTCTATCAAAGAGTTTCTTACATATACCAAATTATTAGTAAGATCAGTGTTTATTAAGAATTACTGATATTTCAACAAGAAATTAGATTTATATTTCTTTAAGTAGCCAATGTTAAGCATTTTGATAATAGTGGAAACTTTCTCTCTATTCAGGTTGTTTAGAGTGCATCTTGTCTATTCAGGGAAATGATGAATTTAATCTACAATAAAGTCATTCATTCGCAGGCGATAAAAACTCCAATATTGTAATTAGCCGGAAACATATGAGCACGCGTTTTCATTGCAAACAACATGCAGTTCCGCACAATGATACGGGGGCATCCATCTTCAAATTAAATGTTACGTCTTTAGACATAAGGATGCTTTACAATTGACCCTCCGCGAGAAATAGCTTAATAAATACATGTATCTACCGCCGTTCTTACATTCATAAAATAATAAGATATCCGTGAAACATAACAACCCGTTTAAATGTCCGATGATCCAACATACACGTATAATTGTTTGTAAGAATAACGCCTAATGACAGGTAATCAAGGAAACTCAAATCCAAACAATATACAGTACAAACTTGAGTAAAAAACAACTAAGTACGCATTACGAATTTCGAAATATAAGATAGGTACAAACCAATTAAGTACTATCTTATTCATTTAACACTTAAGGAACTTATATTTTATTGCAATTAGACTGTACAATATCCGTAGACATTACAACCAGGCGAAAACAATTTCCGTCGCTAACCCTTTTTACATGATTAACCTTACAAGCACAATTAACTTATAAACCAAGATACACGTTGCTTAATAAATTGTTCAAAACTTCGCTTTTTCAAATAACGGTTCATTATGACCCGGATGCGCATAATTGACAGGTTTGTAATACGATGACATCTTATTTTCATCAGGTTGCAGTATTAGCCCAAACCGAAGTTAAAACTAAAAGGTGAGTCAGTACATAACTATAAGCATACTGCTATAAGCTATATCTTTTTAACTTTGTGATAATAATAGAAATTGTTCTATCCCCAAAAGCCCAGTTTATTACATTAAATGATTGCCGTATGTATAATGACGTAAAAACATCGTCGGCCACGTAGCAGAATTACACAGGTGTTCCCATATTACTATTGCGAGACTTATGGTCTTTAAAATATGAATCATTGAAAGCAAGAAATAACGTTAACATTTATAGGTTGGTATGAATAAAGACGGCATCAGGCTTCTAGAGATAAAAAATATTGTTTTTCACGCAGCGGAAAATCACGGATACCCCCCAGAAGTATTATATTCAGGCTTATGGTCTCTACAATATGAATCTTTATACTAAGCATGAAATCACAAACATGTATAAAGGTGCGTATGTATTAAGATGACACCAGACTTTCCAAGAATAAACGTATCTATTAAGGCAGAGTTTATTCCGCTATCCAATCTATATTAAGCGAGGTGCTATGTCTAAGTCTCTCACTCAGACTGGGCACTAAATAAGTGATTTCCAACTTCCTGAAAATGGGAATTCATGGTGTGAAGCATAAACGCGTGTCATTTGATGTTTACACAACAACTTACAAAGAAATAAAATGTTTCTATTATGCCTAACTTTGATTCTCTTCTTTATCTTGAATATTTATCAATTTAAAAAGAATAATATATTGGCGAAATATCTGGTAAGGAACATGGTGGGAGTAAAACTCAAGTTTACAATTTTGTCGTACGCGCATGGGAACATATTTTAGTAACAAGTTGCCCTTTACCTTGATCACGTGACATCCTGTATTGTGACATGTATTTGTATCAATATTGGGACAGCATCATAATTTGAAAAATCTATGAGGACTCTTCGATACCAAAAATATACCGTCATCGCAATTACGTTTTATTAGGCTTTTTTCCATGAATTTAGATGCAACATTTCATTTCGATCTATCAAGATAAAATAATCCAATTTTACATATACTTTATGGTTCAATTTAAAAGTGTTCAAGATTAAAAGATACTCTAAATATACCATATTCATATAAGTAAAATTGAAACTGACTTAAAATGATATCAAGAAACGAAATAGAACAACATCAATTATATCACCGCGGTAAGAGCTGTTTTGAACAGTGTTTCTAAGACGAATAATATAAAACAAAATGCACACAAAAACATAGGAACACAATCTTTATTTGGGAAAATTGAAAATGCATGTAAAAATAATTAATTAAAATATCATACGTACCTATTAATTACATTATGTAGCATCGAATTTTATGTTGAATGCTCAAGTGATTTTTACTTTATGTAGTAGATATAAGCCGAAAACTGTCCAATATGTAAAATATTGAATTTCATGAGGCGCGTAGCGCCGAAGGGAATTCAATATTTTACATATTGGTCAGTTTGAGGCTTATATCTTACTTAAATTACTTCTTTTAAAATAAAGGTTTTAATTACTAATGAAAAGTATTTGAAACAATAATTCGGTTGATAAATAGTAACTGCATGACATTAAATAAATCACTTATCTTCCTTCATAAAACCCCATAAGTAACCTCTTGATAATGTAAGATGTTTTCTGCATGGATTTTTCGTGATTAGAAAACTGACCAGTGTATCCTAATACATGTATGAAAATTAATACACCTTGGTCTACACAGTTTACATGTGATACCGCCTAAAGATTTAAACAGTAGATATAATTTTAAATATGGAGTATAAAAAAAGGACAATACAGCCAAGTCAAATAGTAACGGGTCAAATTTTAGATGATGCACTTGCATTAGAGGATTGTTATCCAAATTATGAATTAAAATCAACATTATTTTCGGATATATCTGATGACAGTGCCGATGAAATGCTTGTTCAAGCTTCGCAAATGGCGGAGGATCGCTATGCTGAGGAATTATTATTGTGTGATGGAGATGATGAGGAATTATTACAAGCCTCCCAGAATTTCGAGAATGCGCCCAAATCGCAAAATTCAGACAGATTCCCCGAGCCATTGGAGTATTGCCAACTTACAGAAATGGTTAAAAAGAGTGTACCCGAAAACACCAGAAACAAATCAAAATGGGCATTTAATGTATTCGAACAATGGAAAAAGAATAGAAACACTTATGGAAATACAGAAAACGATACCATAATTGGTGATATTTTGACAATGTCAAACCAGCAGTTAGACATGGTTCTGTCATTTTTTATAGCCGAGGTGAGGAATAAACAAGGAAAAGAATATTGCCCTAAGACAATATACGAGCTTGTCATAGCTCTCCAGCACTACCTAAGATCTAATGACAGGCAGATAAACCTTCTAGAAAGTAGCGATTTTGTAAAAATGAGGTCGGTCTTAGATTCAAGAATGAAAGATCTCTCAATGCAAGGATTGGGGCTTAATAAAAAGCAAGCTTTAATTATAAATGCAGAACAGGAGGATACACTGTGGGAACAAGGACTCCTTGGAAACTTGGATACACCTCAAAAACTTTTGGATACCATGGTCTTTTACATGGGTTTGAACTTTGCATTAAGAGCTGGCAAGGAGCATTGGAATCTGAGGATCGGATCTTCGACTCAGATTAAACTTCATTCCACCCCAACTGGACGTCGTTATTTGGAATACACAGAGGATGTTTCGAAAACTAATGCTGGCGGGCTGTACCAAAAGAATGTGTCACCAAAAGTTACACGGGCATACGAGAACGATAACCAACCAGAGAGGTGTCTTTTGAATCTTTACTTGGACTATATGAGCAAACGGTAAGTAATTTAATTCATTACAGTGCTCAAAAACGCGATTCTTTTGGTAAACAACGTGAATAAAACCTAATTACGCAATTGAAGATAAAACGTAAAACGCCTGTTATTATAAAAAGAAAAAAAGAACAATATTGAATTCGCATTATTTTTAAAAAGTCAATTTCTGAAAAAAGGAGAGAGATTTAACATGAATACAAATAAACAATTCATACTTTAAAGCTTTAAGTTAAAAAATGAACGCGAGCGTAAGAAAACGACCATTAAGCACTGTTAAGGTCATTTTACAAATGACGTCAAAAGACAATAACGTTGCCATTGACGTTAAAAAAAGTGAATTACCCTTGAAATGTTACAGATAAATATGAATAGGTATCAATAAGACAATTTTAAAAGATTTTTTTTATTTATTTCAATTGCTGTAGAATTGAATTTCTTAAAAGAAGTCAATTAAAAAAGTGACATTAAGGTGTATTTGCTAAAATATGCCTTACTGATAAACCTATTAAATTAAAAAAAAACATTTATGATATATTGTTTTAAAACCTCATAACAATTGAGGGATCATTTGGTGTGCTGCTTAAATTTCTTTTACAAAAATGAGCCGTGTCACGACAAAACCAACATAATGGATTTGCGACCAGCATGGATCTAGACCACGCTGTCTGATCAGGGTCCACGCTGTTTGCTATCAGTTTCTCTACTTGTAATAAGGTTTGTAAGCGAACAGCATGGCTCTAGATCAGACTGCGCGGATGCGCAAGCTGGTCTGGATCCATGCTGGTCGCAAACCCATTATGTTGGTTTTGTCGTGACACGGCTCAAATCATATAAATACTATCTTAAGGAGTTTCTTATGAATCCTTGCTATGAAAAATCAAAGAAACGAAATAAGAATTAAAGTAAGTTACGTGTAGTTATTTTTCTTTTTCTTTCCATTTTAGACCAGAAAATGGCAAGTGTGATGCGTTTTACTTGCGTCCTAGCAAGTCTGGTAACGGTGCTGTTAGAGGAAAATGGTTTGATGATGCCCCTGTTGGAATACATACTTTACAGCGTACTATTGGTCGACTATGTAATGATGCTGGTTTTGATGGTTTCTACACAAACCATTCACTTCGTGCAACTGCAGCCACGCGCTTGTTCTCTGCTGGAGTTGATGAACAGTTGATATGCGAGAAGACAGGTCATAGGTCTGACGCTATAAGAGGTTACAAGCGTACTTCGGAACAACAACAAGAGCTTGTTAGCAAAATTGTTCAAAGTGCTAAATGTCAAAAAGTTGATAATAGTTTAAAAAATGACAAAAGTTGTGAATTTTCTTTCGAAGGCAACGGCATGAAATTCAATTTCAAATTCTGACTATTGGTACTTATGTGATTTTTTTCTTGCGTTAAAGCGAGTTGTCTTATAAATGGAAAATTGCTTGTGAAATTCGTTCATGTGTTTTTTGTTACAATTCAATAATAAACAACAACAAAACAGCTTTCTTTTGTTTGCAGGTCAATTCATTCCAATGTCTAATATCGATATGTAACACGATTAATACTAGACTAACACATTAATATTGGACGCCTACCTGTACTGTATTAAAAATACAGTACGGTCAGAACAAAGGAATGACGTCATAGTAGTAATTGAAGCCTACTGACGTTTGACAACCGATTGTGCAGGATCGGACATTATACCAAAGTTATTTAATCTAAATTAGTTGATTTGTTAAATTAAAGCAAAATTTGTATTAGATAAATGTAACTGTAAGTATTACATGTTGTTATACATTTTCACAATAACTATAATGTTAAATGTATAGAATTAACGTAACGTTATATTTTGCCGTCTAAAGCTACTGTATTTAGCGAAACGCGTCAATTAGTCTGGAAGATAAAACACTTTGTTGTTGAAAGTTTATGATTAGTTAAGGTATTAATAATAATTTACAAATATTTTTTAACTTTGAAATAAAAAAAACGGCATTAATAAAAAGAAATATTTATATCTTTATGAACAAAAAAGCTATTGCTTTTAATGTGACTACATTTATGTTAATATATGCTTGAAAGCAGTGATAGTATAAAGAGTAGACTGTACGGTATAAACATGTGTCAAATAATTGTCAAAATGGCTTAATAATAGCAAAACGAGATATGGCCTCGATTAAAGCAGTTTTAGTAATCCATCAGAGGGTGATTTGCAAAAACAAATCACAAGCCTTTTGGAACTTGTATAAATATTATAAAATATGCATGTATGTTATAAGATATAGCTATATACACATAAGATAAATCAGTCCTAAATCTTAAAGCTTACGAAACTTTCAAATCAAGAGATAAAATATGTTTCTTTCTCCACATTTTATGGATCTTATCGTTTTTAACAGTACTGACCGCTTAATATTTAGAATGCCAATTATCATGTAGGACGTTCTTTTGTGATGTTGTTTGGTGTACATATAATAATTAACATGCAATATATATACTTTTTTCAGAAATAAGATATAATATGTCCATCATCTTACATAGCTAAATTAATTAATATACAAAAGATTGTAATATCTAAATTTCATAATCAAATATCATCACAATGGCCGTGTTTTGAACAGTTTATAAACTATAAATAACAATCGTTATCATAAATTGATCTAATCTTCAGTCAACTGAAAAAAGATATATCTAAGTAATCTTCATTCACAAATCTTTTTTATAACAGGTGAGATTTTTTTTTTACATAACAAATGCAATTTTAAGAATTACAGAATACGATAAATGCGCGATATAACAAATTTCAATGCTTGTACATGCACATGTTTAATCAGAATGATTTACATAATTCAGTTCAAATAATTTGTTCTTAGTTCAAAACGTTTTAAGACATACAAAATAACTTCTGAATAACGACTTATCATTGTTTAAAAGCTCATTAGATTTTAATACATAAATATTTCTCAAAATAAAAAATCTTTTATACAACGTTTGCGTAAATCAGTATACAGAGGACATTCTAACAAAAAGTGAAATTCGTCCTCTAATATTCTACATATTAAACATTTACGGTCTGAGTATGGGATTTTTAAAGGTTTATGTCACCTTCCTGTTTCGACTTCTAATCTGTGAGCCGAAACTCTTAGTCTTGATAATGCAATTCTTAATTGCGGGTTTTAGATTATATCCAAATATGCCTGAAATTTACATGTTGCATATAAATTATATGTTCTTGCTCTAGATGACCCTTGTAATTGACTAATCCAATTTTGAATGAAACCATCAGTAAGTCTGCTTTTGAAATATTCCAAAAATTAAGTTTTATTTCCTACTCACTGAAACAACCATGCATAACTAAAACCTAAATGATCTAACAATTCTTTAATTGATTTAGCCCAGGAATTCTTTTGAGGATGCATATCTAAATCATTCAACATTAAGCCATATACCTTTTTAATATACTTATATTCATCACCACTTTCATTCATTTTAAACAAATAACGTTCAACACTTACTAACTGCTTATAAAATAAAATTGTGCGGGCCAGTTCATCATATATCAAATTATTTTGTGTTTGGGGCATTACTCCTAATAAATGTTTGCAAAATTGTAAGTGAACTCGTTCTATTTTTTCTGAATTATAGAAACCCCACACCTCATTATAATAACTTAAAATGGGTAAAATAAATTTAAACAATGACTTAACGTAAGACAAGGGAACTTCACAAAATACGATTTTAACTTGAATATACCTTTTAAAGCTTGACCACTTAACGCATCACATGTTGATAGAAAAGAACCGCCAGTACTAAATACAATACCTGAATACGAAAACGAATAACATTATGTAACTACCTCAATAGCAGAATTCTGATACATTTATTCTAAATTTTGTCTATTTCTCCCACCTTTTCTAAAAATCATAATATTTAGTTGATAGGGGATATAAAGCCTTTGTATATACAACGGCGTTTTACAATGATACCATTAATGAAAACTATCGCCAAAGCTTTTTTTGTTCATGCTGTTCGTTATTAAAATGGAGTCCTGCAAAAAACACAAAGTGCATAGCATTATGGATAAAACATATTTTTGCCACAGAGAGAAACATGAACATTTTTTTTTAATTTAAAATATAATAGGCCGAGGTTGACTAAAAGTTTGCATTTAGCGAGTTCAGCTGTGGAACAACTCAAGAAATTGAACTAATGACACTTTGACCTGTTATTAACTTCGTAATCCGAGAGTTTATGAGATGTCAGGTAATTAAGATCGAATTGATCTGAAACTGGAAGGTGTAGCAGCCAGATATTGTATGACATGTACTGAAAAAATGCTGAGAAAAGTTTTTGAATAAAAGAAACCCAGAAAATAAGCAAATACTAGAGGTTACTGAAATATTCTGTCAAACGAGTGTAACTATCGATAAGCAGTTAAAGATAGCGTTTTTATGTTTACATTTCCATAGATAATGTTAAAAACTGTATCATGTTAAATAATATACAATGTACATGCAAGTTACATAAATATTTTAAATAAGTTTTCAATCAACAACAACATTTAAAAAAAATACTTTCAACGGAATATAATTGTGTTGCTTATGTTTCTGAGCAGAACTTACCGATCAATGTGAAAACAAATATAAGAAACATAAATCTGACCAAAAGATAGACATGTTGTAATGAAAGCAACCTATGCACAATAAGACATATACATTTCAATGTTGGAATGACATATGGTATCGTGTGATACATATAAACATGATTATATTCATGATTCTATCATAGGACGGAGGTCGAAATTCATTACTGCAACATATAATAACGTGCCACCATATTTACAGTTATATTTTTTATGGTGCAATCGTAGAAGAAATTGGTGAATATATTAGACACAAAAAGCTTCAAATTTATAACGGTAGCTAGCATAAAGGAAAGTAAACAAATATTAGTTATTAAACATAATTCATCAAAAGTAAATGTCTTCCACGTGTCCCTATATCAGTCCTCAATTAAAACACTGGCCTTAATAAGTTTTCACTTATATAGAGAAAAAAAGAATCCCTAAAGAAAGCCCAACACGGCATAATTGAAAATGTTGCATGCATTTTCCATCTTATATGTTTCCATCATATATTTTTATCTTTGGAAAAACATTCATCAATTTCTTATAACCGTAAATAATTGGACGAAGCTCATAGGGTTGATTCTTATTTTATTTTCTCTATTTTATCGCCACATCAACGTTGTTTGTGCCGTGTGCAGGCTATAAAAAGTCGCCCCGTACATTCAATCAGAGATGTTATATTTCCGATCCTTGAAGGTCGTTCTGAACAACATTATTGTTGTGCTTGTAGTAATTTAGTTCTTTCTATTTGGCTATTTTCTTATTGGGCGGTTCCAGTATTCCTCACTTGAATACTGTTTAATCACCCTTAGGATATGTGGCCGGCTTTGTCTTCTGACGCCTTATTTGTGATATGCAGAGTTCAAAACCTCTGATCTCCTTTCAAAATTCCATTGTATTTAGTTCCGCCCATTGTTTTGTCGTTTAGGGCACACGCAAATTATTTTACTTCGGGACCATATGCCGCTTTTCATGCAATGGCACTTAAGTTTCACATTGAAGGTTCCATGATAACCGCCATATGAAAACACCTGCGGATGTTTCTAAATTTAAAATTGTACCGGTTCATGTTAAATGTTAAATTCTGCTTAAGCCGGTGCTAGGGGGCGTGGACGGTAGTTTGCACTTGTCAGTACCGTCCATGAACAGGCTCAATCAAACCGAGCCTGCAACATTTTCAATTTTGTCGTGTTGGGCTTTCTTTGGGGATTCTTATTTTCTCTATTTGATAATGGCCTTCCCCCAAAAATACGCTATATATACAGTATATGTATAGTGATCTTAATTGAGGAATGCCAGCAATTTCATGAATTTGTTTTTGTTGAGAAATCAGCAAAATAAATAAATACAAATAGTAACCCCAGATGAATTGAACCAACACCATCTAGTACTGATATACCTTACAGCTATTAACAAAAAGGCAGTTGTTTGATGTGTTTTCGCAGCCGACAAAAGGAAAAGCAAAAGAAAAAAAAAGAAAGAAAAAGGAAAGAACAAGAATAAAGCAATATATGCAACCGTTGAAAATTTAAAGACGTCAAATGTTAGAGACGGATTGTAAACTGATACATCGTGGAGAAAGTAATATTGATTCAAGATAAGTGGAAATAATTCATTTAACGGTTAAACCTTTTTATTTTAGCAGAATATTTTCATGTCATTGATTATCTTATTCGGAATGTTCGTTACCGATGCCCCATCGGAGCCTCTATGAAAAAAATATTAAATATATAGCAGGTGCATAAAAATCTCAA